TCTTGACAATTGAAATCAGAAGCATCTTGGTGCAAATTGATGACAAATATTTATGCTATTTGTATAGGAGAACCTTCTGAATAAGTGGGAAAAGTTAATAAAGCTCTATAACTAAAATAACACATCTGACTCACCTTTTTTATTTTTTTAAAAAACTTTTTAATGTTTTATTTATTTCTGAGAGAGAGACAGCATGAGCAGGAGAGGGTCAGAGAGAGAAGGAGATACAGAATCTGAAACAGGCTCCAGGCTCTGAACTGGCTGTCAGCACAGAACCTGATGCAGGGCTCGCACCCATGAACCATGAGATCATGACCTGAGCCGAAGTTGGACGTTTAACCCACTGAGCCACCCAGGTGCCCCTGGCTCACATTTTTTAAAAGGGCCCCTAAAGAATAATAATTAATGACATCAGGGAGACAGAGGAAAACATTTCTGGAACTATGTCCTTGAATAGATGAAAATGGATGGCATCCAGTGGAAGTAAGAGGGATTAGTTCCAGAGTAACATGCAAAGTTCATGCATGGTAATGAAGGCAGAGTAAGTGACGACACAGGCTAATAGCTGAGGCAGTTCAGAGACTGATTGCTTGAATTTCTGTGAAGTCATCAGTGAAAGGTGAGGTATTCAGGGTTTAAGAAGAAAGGAGGGGCACCTGGGTGGCCCAGTCGGTTGAGCGGCTGGTTTTGGCTCAGGTCATGATCTCACGGTTCATGTGTTTGAGCCCTGCGTCGGGCTCTGTGCTGAAAGCTCAGAGCCTGGAGCCTATTTCAGATTCTATGACTCTCTCTCTCTCTCTCTCTGCCCCTCCCTCGCTCATACTGTGTCTCTCTCTCTCTCAAAAAATAAATAGACCTTAAAAAAAAAGAAGAAGAAGAAAGGAGACAGCGTAGAATCCCTGTTGAGGGAATAGGGAAGGAGATGCTTGCCCGGGGTGGGGGCTAAGAGCCCACTGGAGGTCTGTGGTCATGAACGTATGTGGTCATGAATTCAAAGTGAGACCAGTCAGCTGGCCAAGGGAGTGAAGACAGGCGAGTGACAAAGGTGAAAAGTGGGAGGGCCAATAGATTGGAGGCTCTATGGCCAATGAATGGAGGAAAAGGGTCTAGAAGTGGAAGCGAGAAAGTGGGATGTGTGAAACTCACATGACAAAATGGTTATGGTTGTTGGCAATCCCAAGTTCAAGGTTAAAAGCAGGGCTGGCTTCACGGCCTGTCCCGCATGCAGCTGCACAGAGCCCCGCGCTCACAGGGTCCTGCACTGGGTTCCAGGCGCTGCTGTCGCCATCTTGAAATTCCTAACCACTGGGGCGCCTGGGTGGCTTAGTCGGTTAAGCGTCCGACTTTGGCTTAGGTCATGATCTCGCGGTTTGTGGGTTCGAGCCCCGCGTCGGGCTCTGTGCTGACTGCCAGCTCAGAGCCTGGAGCCTAGTTCAGAGTCTGTGTCTCCCTCTCTCTCTGACCCTCCCCTGCTCACGCTGTCTCTCTCTCTCCCTCTCCTAGAAATAAATAAAAATATTAAAAAAAAAAAAAAAAGAAAGAAATTCCTAACCACTGTTTAACAAGGGGCCTTGCATTTTAATGTTGCCCTGGGCCCCACCGCCCTACGGGCATGGGAGTGAGTGGCTGATGTAGGTGGAAGACGAGGCCTCTGGAGAAGAGCTGAAGGAAGTGAGAAACCGGAATGTCTCAGGGTAACGTACATGTGAACTACAACTGTGGAAACCGAGGGAGGAATAGCATTGAAGGTAGCGACAGGGGGGCTAAGAGCTAGGCCGTGGAGACCGAGTGGCAGTAAGCAGGGGCACAAGATGCCGCAGCAGGGAGGGGGGAGTCGGCAGGCGACATAATCTAATGACGTGAAACTCAAAGCTGAGGGTTTGGAGGAAGGAGGGGAACAGCTGAGCACCGGAACATGGACCTCCCCTTCAGGCCCTGCAGGGAGTGGGCTTTGGGAGAAAGAAGCAGCCATGTAAACGGGGGGGGGGGGGGGGGGGGGGGGGGCGGTCCTGGGGGCAGAGCCAGGTTTCCTTTAGAGCAAGGTGACAGGATGATTAAGAACAGGTCAGTGCCCTGCAAGACTGGGGCTCTTATAAATGATGACGACAGGGATAAGGGGCACGATGAGATGAGCCCAGGGGACTCAAGGCAGAGAGTGGAGGCAAGACTATTAGCTTTGTAGCCGAAGAGGGGGCTCCCTGTCACCAATGGTGATGGGCAACAGCCTAGGATAAACATGGCCTTTTTGTGTATCTTTAGTGTGAATGTTTGCTGGAAGAACTATATTTCTTTTATAAGTTTTATAAGTGGCATTTATAAAATAACAATTAGAAAGGGCACGGGGGAGGGCACTTGTGGGGATGAGCACTGGGTGTTCTATGGAAACCAACTTGACAATAAACTATATTAAAATAAATAAATAAATAAATAAATAAATAAGATAATTAGGGGCACCTGGGGGTGGGGGCTCAGTCGGTTAAGCGTCCGGCTTTGGCTTTGGCCCAGGGCATGATCTCATGGTTCATGAGTCCCAGCCCCACGCGGGGCTCTCTGCTGTCAGCACAGAGCTCCCTTCGGATCTGCTCTCCCCTTCTCTCTCTCTGCCCCTTCCCCACTCACGTGCGTTCTCTCTCTCTCTCAAAAACGATAAATTAAAAAAAAAAAAATAATTAGGACAGAGGTTATTTAAAAATGAGTTTTTTTTAAATGTTTTATTTATTTCTAGAAGAGAGAGAGAGAGACAGCGTGAGCAGGGGAGGGTCAGAGAGAGAGGGAGTCACGGACTGAAACAGGCTCCAGGCTCTGAGCTGGCAGTCAGCACAGAGCCCGACGCGGGGCTCGAACCCACGAACCGCGAGATCATGACCTAAGCGAAAGTCGGACACCTAACCGACTAAGCCACCCAGGCGCCCCTTAAAAATGAGTTTTTACACTTACCCAATGACACTATAGTCATATAAAGTAGATGCTCTGCAATCTCTTATAAAATATTTTCCTCGAAACATTCCAAAATCAATGCATATAGGTATCGCAAGTTCAATAAATCAATTTCTTTGTAAAGCACTGTGGCAACATGGCTTGTTATTGCATATAAAATGCACTGCAAAGGGGTGCCTGGGGGGGCTCAGTCGGTTAAGTGCCTGACTTCAGCTCAGGTTATGATCTCACGGTTCATGGGTTAGAGCCCTGCGTCTGTGCTAAGCTGTCATCACGAAGGCTGGAGGCTGCTTTGGATTCTGTGTCTCCCTCTCTCTCTGACCCTGCCCTGCTCATGCTCTGTCTCTCTCTCTCTCAAACATAAGTAAATGGTAAAAAAAAAAAAAAAAAATTTAAAAACGCTTTGCAAAGGAAAAGATTGGATTTGAGCAGTGTCTGTCTTTATAACTTGAAGTCTACGGCTTTCGGGCCAGTTAACGTAGAAGCTCTGTTTGTTTGAGTCTTTCACACTCCTCTGGTGGAGATTGTCTTAGCTGATAATACAACAGCGTAATAAAAAAGAAGTCATTTAAGAATTTAATGTGTGATAGTTGCGTCTCAAAGAACTATGTGATCAATCAAATGCAATGTGTGGACCTCGTCTGGATCCTGATCTGAATGACATGTCTGTGAAAAGAAATTTTTGAGACTTCTTCCCAGATGTGGGACACTTTATCACATGTGGACAAGGGGTCTTGTGAAATGTGTGTTGCTTGCACACACATGTGCGTTGGGGACACCCACTGGCCTATTCTGGCCTCAGGAAACCCCACAAAAAGGATTGGGATTTGAAGTCCATTGCCAAAGCCTTCAGACAATCAGTAATAAGGTCTTCTGTACCTTAAAGCTCTGTGCAGCTTTTTAAATTCTTAGTTCAGTCCAATGATTCCTTGGCATAGGTGTGAAGTGGTGGTGGTGGTGGAGGATCATCAGATAATTTAAACCTCATGTCAGTATCTATAATCTCTCTCTTTTTACTTTTTTAAATAAATGTTTATTCATTTTTGAGAGAGAGGGAGAGTGTGAGCAGGGGAGGAACAGAGAGAGAGAATGAGGGGGACAGAGGATCCAAAGCGAGCTCTGTGCTGTCTAGCAGTGAGCCGGATGTGGGGCTCAAACTCTGAGATCATGACCTGAGATGAAGTCAGACACTCAACCAACTGAGCCACCTAGGTGCCCCACCCCCCCTTTTTTTTTTTACATTTTAATATGTCTCTGGAATCAGAACATGTTGAAGGTTGATAGAAACATTTAACGTATGCATTTTTTTCCCGGAAAGCTATTGTTAAATTAACACGTTACATCAATGGCATCTTGGAGAAATATGGCAATGCATGGATGCTATGTCTTGCTTTGGAAATTGTCAGATTGGGTCTGTTATCTAGATTCTGGGAAGATTACTTAGCCCGTGGCACCACTTCCGCACTCTCACCGTTCTTTGCTTTAATTGACACTAACGATCTCTATCGAGGTCAATGACACATCGTTTGGTGAGCAGTACAGGAACTGCCCAATGGCAGTTTGTATGTTGTATCGACTTAGAGCTAAGTGAAAAAACTAGAGAGAAGTACGAAGACCATGGAAATAGTAAATTCTCTCTCCTTATCCTCTTGGCTTCAAGCCCTGACTTCCACCTTCAGAATAGGGGTCCCCATTTCCAAGCCTTTGTCTCTTTCAAATTCCCACAGATGAGATTGCCTGAAAATGATCAGTTTCTTTCTAGGACTAAGATTGCCAAAGCCACCGTGCACATAGTAGACAGGTAGACGCTACCTGGATTTGCACGTAAGGACATTATGATGGGCTGCCTGGTGGTTCAGTTGGTTGGACGTCTGAGTCTTGATTTCCACTCAGGCCATGATTCAGAACCTGCTTGGGATTCTCTCTCCCTCTCTCTCTGCCCCTCCCATACATACACACACACACACACACACACACACATGTACACGCACTCTCTGTCTCAAAATAAATACATAAATTAGAAAAAACAGAATATTATGATTCACACAGTTATCTTTCCACAGGTTTAAAAATTTTGTCTACACATACCGAATCTTCAAAGAGAGACATGGGTTTTACAACATACAGGTAAGAACGTACCAGAACTGCCATAAAATCAGTAACAAAAGGTCGGGGGGAGAAGAATCAGAGCATCTCTTGAACCTGAGATGTGGCCACGTGGAGGCATTTTAGAAAGGGAAGCAACATGCAGCGTCAGAGGCAAATCAATAGTGAACCTTGTCTTTCTCTGGGGGAAATAGGGAGAATTTTTCAATAATCAAGGCTGTTGTTCAGACCCGTAGAGGCGCATGACTCTGGAGTCAAATGAACCAGCCTGGCCTCCACGTGAGGCCACTGTCCAGTTAGAAAAAGATGCAATGGCCAGGGCGGGATGGAGTGGGAAGGCGGGGAGAGGTCTGAATGTACAGGCAGCCACATGAGCTCCCCGGCTGAAGGAAACAAGGGGCGCATCCATGAACTAGCATCTTAGGGGTTTCTTTAATTTTTCTGGTTTACTGAGCACTAAGCAGAAAACCTTTTTCTTTTAAAATGATTTCTCTGGCTTAGGAAGTCGAGGATAATAAACATAACTGAATCTTCACTGACAGAATCCTGAAATAATTTTTTGAAACACTTGCAGACATGATTAAGCAGATCTTTTACTGCAAAATATCTCAGAATCTTCAAAATGCTAATGCTCGCTGTGAATATCTAAAAGAAATTAGAACATACAATGATTCCCACACACATCACACACACATATATATCCATATCCATATATATATGTGTGTATGTGTGTGTGTGATGTGTGTAATGCATGTGTGTGTGATATGTGTGTATGATGTATGTGTGTGTGATGTGTGTAATGTATGTGTGTGATATGTGTGTGATGTATGTGTGTGTGATGTGTGTAATGTATGTGTGTGATATATGTGTGTATACAATGTATGTGTGTGTGATGTGTGTGTGCATATACATATAATTTTTCATTTCCCTACAAAGGACATTATTGAGGCAATTGACAAAATTTGAACAAGGTCTGTAGATTAGTAAACAGCATGACATCAAGATTAATTTCCTCATTTTAATGATTGTAGAGTGGACACGTAATGTCCTCGCTGTTTTGGAAACATTGAAGTATTTAGGGGTAAAGAGCTATCTTGTTTGCACTTAATCTCAAAATTAAAAACATATGTATATATGTATCACTATATATGCACATATATGTATATATTTAGAAAGAGAAAATGAAAAGCAAACATATACAATAAAATGTTAACATTTGAGGATTGGGTGAAGGAGATATACATACAAATTTTAAAAATATTTTTGCAACTTTTCTTCAAGTCTGAAATTATTTCAAAATTTCAAAATATATTTCAAAATATAAGTTCAAAAGCAACTTACAGTAAAACTTTTTTCCTTTGTTGTGCCTGCTTTGGGAGATTGTGCTAATTCCTTAATACAGTATTTTGTTTCTTGTCCGGACAAAGCAGAGAGGCATGGAAGTCAGTTATAACTCAGATACGGGAGCCATTTCACTGAGGAGGCCCGTGGGGAGTGGATGGTGGCTTGGGTTGAAGTGATGACCTTATATGCAACTTCCCCCCCGGGCTGCTTCAATGCCTGCCAGCATCTCTGATGAAGGTTAACCACACTGCACGTCAGAGAAACTTCTGGTCACCGCACCTGTCTGTAGTCTGACATGGGGCCATCTGAGAACCAGCGTGATCATCAAGAAAGCCGTGAACACGGGGCAAGGGAAGGAAAAATAAGATAAAAACAGAGAGCGAGACAAACCGTAAAAGACTCTTAAATACAGAGAACAAACTGAAGGTTGCTGGAGGGGCTTAGGGTGGTGGGATGGGTTAAATGGGCGATGGGCTTTAAGGAGGGCACTTGTTAGGGCGCCTGGGTGGCTCAGTCAGTTAAGCGTCTGACTTTGGCTCAGGTCATAATCTCATGGTTTGTGAGTTTGAGCCCCGTGTCGGGCTCTGTGCTGACAGCTCGGAGCCTGGAGCCTGCTTCAGATTCTGTGTCTCCTTCTCTCTCTGCCCCTCCCCCACTGTGCTCTGTCTCTCAAAATTAAATAAATGCAAAAAGAATTTTTTTTTTTTAAATTGAGGGCACTTGTTGGGATGAGCACTGGGTGTTATATGTAAGTGATGAATTGCTAAATTCTATTCCTGAAATCATTATTACACTATATGTTAACTAACTTGGATTTAAGTTTTAAAAAATTAAAATTAAAATTAAAAACACCCCACACATACAAGGCACAGTGTCTGACATCAGCTTCCAGAGGGGTACCCTCGGCGAAATATCTACAAGTGCCCCAGATAAACTTGCTGAGGATGGGGGCTCACTCAGCTCTGCAGACCAGCGTGGGACCCCTTGATCATCAATCCTTCTTCCTCACAGTAGCTCAAGTCAGAGGCTGGTCTTAAAACCAAAGGTTTCTGTGTATTTCCATTGGTGCAATTTTTTTAATGTTTTGTAATTTATTTTGAGAGAGAGAGAGAGAGAGAGAAAGAGGACGCACAGGAGAGAGGCAGAGAGAGGAAGGGAATCCCAAGCAGGTGCGGAGCCTGATTCAGGGCTCGAACTCACCAACCGTGAGATCGTGACCTGACCCGAAAGCAAGAGTCAGACGCTTACCCGGCTGAGCCCCCCAGGCTCCCCATCGGGGTGAGCTCTTAAGCCTGAACTGCCAGCCACTTGTTTTCAGTTTGCCAGCTCAGAGGTAGCCCTGACAACCACTCCTCTGAGAAGTGTCACATTGCACTTGCAATCGAAGGTGACGAGCTATCTCCTTGTATCTTGGCAGACCGTGGAAGGTGCTCCCAAACAGATCTTTCCAAACCTAAAGGAATTGATCTCTGCTTTTGAGAAACCAAATCAAGGGCTGGTGGTTCACCTTGTACGGCCAATAAAGAAAACCGGCTCCCGCCAGCGATGGAGAAGATCACAGATAAAGTTGGATGGTATTTACAGTAAAAGTTCTTATGGGGGGGGGGCTCCAAGAAGAACCTTAGTCCCATATCTTCCACTGGCTGACTTTGTGGAATTTCTACAGATACACACCCCTTTCTGTTGTGTCCTAAAAGCTTTCACCCACTTAGAGCAATTTCCATTTGCTGGGCAGCGGTGTCTTCGAGCTCTGGAAAGTGTCCAGTGCATGGAGCACTCCCCCTCGGGAGTCAGGAGAGCGAGAGCGCCCCCACACCCTCGCATCCCCTGGGCACTCTGGGAGAGCTGACTTTAAACTCTACCCATGACCTTGTCCCAACTACCATTTGGGGAATAGGTGGATAAGCAGGCAACATTTTCAAATGAGAAAATTACTTCGAGGCCCTCTCCAAGCCTTGTACTGTTGCATCCTGCTCAATATTTGCCAAGTATTCACTTACATAGTGTTAGGGGACAAGTGATTTCAGGTACTTCCCTAAAGGGATTGAGCCACGGTGGAAATCTAAGTGCAGAGAATCCACGCTGAGGCCTCTCAAATCTTTACCATGAGCAGCTGCAACGACTCTCTTATCCCCCTTGAACTTGCTCTCAGAAAATAATCTCTCTAGTGAGGGTAGGGTCAGCGTGGTTTGAATTTAGCTCAGACTCCCTGAGACATTTTCAGCTCACCCGTTTTCTCACAGTGGTGGTGTGGCTACGTTCCCAAGCAGCGGGATTTCAGTGATGAGTGGCCAGGTTGCGGGCGTTGGAAGGAGGCATGCTACCTCGGGAGCCGCAGGGGGCCTGAGATCACCCCACATTCTACTCGGTCTGCAGCCAAGTCACCCTCTGGGGTGCCAGGGCGAGCTTCTCCCCTCCCTACGAAACCGAGCATGGGTTATTTTTATTTATTTATTTTAATAAAGTTTATTTATTTTGAGAGAGAGATGGAGCAAGCAGGGGAGGGGCAGAGAGAGAGGGAGAGTGGGGGTCAAACCCAGAACCGTGAGATCATGACCTGAGCCGAAATCAAGAGTCAGACGCTTAACTGGCTCTTCCACCCGGGAGCCCAAGAGCTTGGGTTTTTAATGATTAAAATAAATCCCCCTGGGGCACCTGGATGGCTCAGTCCCTTAAGTGTCTGATTCTTGGTTTCAGCTCCGGTCGTGATCTCACGGTCGTGGGATCGAGCCCCACGTCTGGCTCTGCACTGATGGTGCGGAACCCACTTGGGATTCTCTGCCTCCCTCTTCTCTCTGTCCGTCTCCCACCCCCCAAATAAGTGAATGAACTTTTAAAAAGTAATAAAAAATAAAGTAAAAAAATAATAATAAACCCCCTCCTCCGCCGTTGTTTCTCTGTCCCCTGCCCCCTGCAGGGGACTGTTCACCTTTGCACACACAAAGTCACTTCCTATAGGGCTGACTATGGGTATAGTCCCATGGCCATGTTCCACCAAAACTTACCGAACAAAAGCACAAAGCCGGGGCAGAGGTAGAAAGCCCGGAATGTACGTGTGTTGAGGGTGTTTGGGGCAGTGCTAGTATCAGTCCAACAATGATAAAATAATCACAAATGCCAGGGGAGCGTCCTTTAATGACCTCCCCTAAGAACTGGGCGGGAGTCTCCCCTCCCCAGCTGCCCATGCTTGATGAGCCCTGGTGGGTGAGCCCCAAGTCTTCAGCTTTCCCCAAAGGGGAGACAATCCTCTCCTCAGCTCATCGTCTTCCTCCCTCCCCTTGGCCTCCTTAGAATAAGCTTCAGATGCTCTCAGTCTGAGGGACCCACAGGCTTTCTGCCGGCGAGTGGGGGCGTCCGGGGCTGGAACCTCGGATGCCCAACCTTATAAAGAGCGCCGCCCCCATTTTGCCAGGAGAGCTCCCCGGGGCACCCCAGCCCTTGAAGATGTCGCTTTGATGCATCAGTCGAGGGCGTCCTGTGCCTGGAGTGAGGTTGGTCGGCGTGACTCCTGGGCGCTGAGCCTCACGGCTGGTCTTCTGTTTCCTTCCCCCCAGAGAACAGTAACAGCGACTATGTCGAGGTCTTGCCTTGAAGATAAAGAGACTGACCAAAGCACTTTGGGAAGACATGAGGCGACAGCTCCCACTGGCGCCCCTGTTTCTCCTGCAGATGTGGGTCTGGGATGCTGAGCTCTAAGCGAACTATTCAGACTCTCCTGGTCTGGGGGACTGAAGATGTCCTGTCCACCAGCCTCAGAGAAATCGCTCCCCACATCCCTACCTCCCACGCACCCAGCAGGAGCAGCTTTGAAGCCCCTTTCCCCTTGAGCCCTCTTCTTTCTTGGAACAGGACAGCCTGAACCAGTTCTCCCTGACTTCTTAAAGATATCACTACATCATGGGTGACACCCTCCTTCAGGCCAGGCAATCGGAAGCACGGCTTCACACAGAAGAGAACGCGCTTGGCCGCGTGGCCATGAGCAAGGAGCCTGAGTTCCAGTCCTGTGGCTACGTGACTTCGGATAAACCTCTTCCCCAGTCTGGGTCTCCATTTCTTCTTCTGTAGAACAAAGGCATGCCCCTGCCTCTGAGCTGCACCCAGTTGTATCCGGTGGAGTCGAGGAGTCCTGGGGTGACGGAGATGTACGCGGGATTGGCACGGGATCAGGGTCCCCAACCCCCCAAACAGCCAACACGGTCTCCGCACCTGCCTGTCCTTGGTGGTGATGGGGGCCCTGACCCCTCCCCCACGCCCTTCTCCCCCACATTCTAGCTCCCCTTCTTTTTCTTCCTAATCTTGATATTCCTGTCAAACACATCCACGGGTACCTTTTCTCCCTGGTTTTGCCCAATTTCCCGAATGCATGAATCACGTCAGCAGCATGGATGTAGCTCTGTCCTGCGCTGGTATCTGTGGGGATTTTAAAGATACCCTCCTACGTGTGGTTCCTGTTCCCGTTAGCTTCTATGTGCCTCCAAAGCACGGTTGGGTCTCCCTCATATTCCCCAGGGTGGAAATGCATGTGCGTAGAGCTGTGCCCGTTCACAGAACTTTCTGACCAGAAGCACATTCCTGAAGGGTTTGTTGAGTCGGTTCTAAGTCCTTTGATTCAACATTTTAGTTACACCCTGATTCGCGTGCAATGTGTCAAATTCTGTGCCTATTGTCTTACCGATCTTCAAACCGTAGTGATTCATTTTACCGTCCCGGTCTTACCTTCCAAAGGTATTAAAGAGAGGAGCTCGAGATTTCCAGAAGACAGGAACAGACATGGTGGCTGCAGTCCCAAAGTGGGAGCCATTCTGAGTTTTTGGCTCACAAGAAATCCAGAGCTATTACCAAGTAGGTAAGAAGTGGAATACAGCCACCATATTCAGAGAGGTGAGGGCGCCAGAAGCAAGCCCACTTCTGGGGTTCTGTCCCCAGTCTTTGATTCCACCTCCAGAGAAGCATGTGTCAGTCACCAGAGTCCACAGCAATCTTTGGTCCAGAAAATACATTCGGTGCCAAGGAAAATATATTTATTTCTTGAACAAATGACTGAATAAATCAATATCTAAAATGTAGCCACTCGTTCCAGATAGCAGAGATTTATTTGAGCTTCATTCATTTCCGAACCCAGTGGAACAAGACAATTAGTTCAAGACCTTGCAGTCGTAATTCTCACAGAAGTGATTTCTTTTTTCTGAGCATCCATGCATAGCACTTTACAGGATGCTTGGTCCCCCGCAGGATTTCAGCACATTTCTCAACTGAGTAGTTGATGTTGATGTCATGTTCATGATCTTTTTAGAAGATCCTGAGGAGTCACGTGAAGGGCAGTTGCAAGATTCAGTAGGTGGGACTGGAGAGGGGAAAGACCCAGGAAACAACAATGGCAGGTATATGAAGTGTTTGAGGTGCTGTTCTGTGAAAGAGGGTACGATGCCTACCAGCAGAACTCACACCAGTGCTGGCTATCTGTAGGAGGGCAGTTTTAGCCGTATAGCAAAAAGAACTCAGAACTCACTAGAATGATCTTATACGAAGAGCCTGCCCATGTTGTAGTTTAAGTGGAGGGTGATATTTTCCAAGGATATGAGAGAGAAGCATCCTGCCCCGAGAAGAAATTAGACTGCCTGAATTCTTAAGGTGCCTTCCAATCCAAGGATCATTGGATCCTCTGGTCATCTCTTAATTCCAGTGGGAATCTCTCTCCCTCTCTTTCTTTTTTGGACTTACATATGGAGGGTGGAGTTAATCACATCCTTTAGTTCTTAACTCATTGTTACCATCAATCCACGCAAGACCTTTCTTCTGTTTTATTTCATTGTTATCCTTTGTCCCTCACTCCAATGTTCACATCTTTTCCCATACGCAGCCGCTCAATACCAATTGATATCTACCCTGGATACGTATGCGCCCTTGTAGAATGAACAGCATTGGTTGTGAATATACGTCTTTTATATTTACATACACAATATTGTATCATTCCAATTATGCTCTTACTTTTCTCACTGAATACCATGTTTGCTTCTAGTCTATATTGCTGAGTGTAATTATTTATTTATTTTGAGAGAGAGAGTATGTGCACGTGAGCAGGGGAGGGCCACTCGTGAGCCAGAGGAAGAGAGAGAGAGAGAATCATCTCAGAGCCTGATGCGGGGCTCGAACTCACGAACCGTGAGATCATGACTTGTGCTGAAATGGAGAGTTGGACATTCAACTGATGGAGCCACCCAGGCTCCCCAGAGTGTAATTCACATTCTGAAATGGTGCATGGTATGCTGTGGTGTGCTCCCACCCGCTTATCCGTTCCTCTAGAGATAGTGGATGTCTAGGGCCGTTCCAGCTCAATGCTCTGCGAAAGCAACCTTGAACGAGTCCCCCTAAGGAAGTGTGAGAGAGTTTCTCTATACGGTCACAAGATAAGCTCATGTTTAATTATGATGTAGTCAACCCCATCAGGTGCTTTTTGATTCTTCTGTAGCAAGTTCTTGGAGATCATGAAAAACATTATTCTACATTTTCTCTTATTTGCTTTTATGCCTTCACCCTCTGCAGTTAAGGTCTCAGGGATGGCAAGGACCCTTGCGCTCTTCACTGACACATTCCCAGTATCTAGAAAAGCCCTTCACACCTCGTTAGTGTTCAATAAATATTTCTCAAATCAAGGATGAATCCAGGGTGAACCTTTGTATGTGGTAAGAGGCATTTCCAACATTGTATTTCTTCATATGGATTAAGCATTTCAACCTGCTTAATCGTTAATTTCCCCTCTGATTTATGGTTCCGCCTTTATCCACAATGGTTCCGATCCTCCAATCTCATTGGCTGGTAGGATAGGTGCCCTCTTAGTTTTCAAGCCGAGTTATCTGTGGACCTTGGTTCCTCCATATACATTTAAGGATAAATATGTTATGTTGCTCAAAACATCTTGATGGGATGTTGAGTGAATTTGCAATGAATTTGTAATTAGGGAACACAGACATTCTTGCACTGTTGTCCCATGTATAACATGCTGCATCAGTTTACTCGGGTCATTTCTTTTTTAAAAAAATTTAAGTAGGCTTCATGCCCAGCAGAGCCCAATGTGGGGCTTAAACTCACGACCCTGGGATCATGATCTGAGCTGAGATCAAGAGTTGGACATTTAATTCACCAAGCCAGCCAGGTGCTCCGTCTTTTTAATTCTTTTAATGGAATCACAAATTTTCACTATAAGAGTTTTGTATATTCTGTTAGATTAACTGCTAATTATTTTTAGTTGTTATCGATTCTGTCACATAGTTTTCTCACATCTCTAGCAGTCTATGGCAGTGGAGAAATGTTTACTCTCTTGTTTGGATCTTCCGGTTTACCTATTGATCCTATTGTAAATTGAATTGTAAATTCTATGTAAATGATTTTGTCCGCTGTAAATAATACCACACTTCTTCTGTTTCCACACTTGTGCGCTTATTGTCCGTGTTTCCCTGCTAGTGCCCATTAAACAGTAATCACAAAAGGGGGCATTCTTGTGTGGGTCCCAGCATTGCATGGAATGTTTAGAAATGTTCTCCGCTTCACCACCACGCTCGTTGTTTTCATTGGAAACGTTTTGTAATTTGTTAAGTGACTGGTTTCTGCACCTACTGAAATCGTCATACTCCTTTTATCTTCATTCCATGAGAGGTAAATTACTTTAAAATCACTTCTTCGCTTGACCATGCTGTATTATTTTCAATAATCTGTTGGATTTGATAAGTGAATATACCTCATTTAAGATTTTTTGCATTAAAGGGGCGCCTGGGTGGCTCAGTTGCTTAAGCGTCCAACTCTTGATTTTGGCTCAGGTCATGATCTCACTGTTTTTTGAGATGGTGCTTCTCATGGAGCTCTGCATTGACCATGCTGAGTCCAAGCCAGGGAGGGGCAGAAAGAGAGAGAGAATCTAAAGTAGCCTCAGGCTCTGAGCCGTCAGCACAGAGTGCAACGTGGGGCTCGGACCCAGGAACCGTGAGATCATAACCTGAGCTGAAGTCAGATGCTTAACCAACTGAGCCACCCATGCACCCCAACCTGGCCATTGATTATGCACATATATGTATGTATATATATAATTATGAATTTATATATAATTATGAATATATATAATCCTAGTTTAGAATACATATATTCTAGTTTAGCTGGCTTATTTTCACATTGTATAATAAGTATGTATAAAGTCATTACTTTAGTTCATGGTACTATTTTCGCAGTATCCCACAAATTTTAACATGAGTACCTTTTATTGCCGTTCAGGTCAAAGTATTTTTAATTTCTATTAAAACGTCCTCTTCACTCCAAGACCAATTTAGTAGTTGCCATTGTCTTTAAACAGATCTTTTAGCTTTTATTTTTGTGTCGACTCCAAACTGTAAAGCATTATAGTTTGATAACATGGTTTGACTTGACTTCTGATGCGTCCTTGGTGAGCATTCTGTGAATATTTCATTTGTTTGAGAATTGCTTTTCCTTTTCTTTTTAAAGTTCATTCTTGTGACCCACCCCCATGTAGTCAAGATTATAAATCATGCAAACCAAATATTTTTATAGAAATGAATTACAGTAGTTGGTGTACAGATTGGCCCCCATAGCTTCATATACATGTTTGAACTATTTTAATGTCATATTTTTAGGTGTATATCTTTTTATACTTATTTTATAATCATCTTAATCTATTTCTATCATATGAAGTGCTTCTCTTCATCTTTTTTTTTTTTTGCCTTTAATTATATTTTGCTTCATATTAAAATTGCTGCCCTGGCTTTCTTTTCATTCATACTTTTCTAGCAGATAATTTCCCATCCCTCTGTTTTTAAGTTGTCTCATATCTTTTGTGTTAACTCTGTCTTCTGTAGACAAAATGTTGCTGGATCTAATCTTTTCCCAAGATTGTCTCCTTTTGTTTGGCAAGGTCAGTTCACTTACATTTATTACAATTTGTTCTGTTGGAATTGATTTCTGCCATTGTTATGAGATGAAAGTGTCGCCTGTCCCCCAGATCTGTCGAAGCTCTAATCCCCAATGTGAGGGAGAGGTGGGGCCTTTGAGAGGTAATTAGGTTGAGAGGAAGCCATGAGGGTGGCCCTAACCCCTCTCACGATGGGATCAGGGCCTTGAGGAGAAGAGAAAACAGAACACTCTCTCCACCTGTGAGCACCTAGATAGGCTTTGTGAGCACACGTAAGAAGGTGGCTCTTCGCCCTGCTCTCACCAGATACCGAATCTGGGGCACCTGGCCTTGGACTTCCCATCCTCTGGGGCTGTGAGAAATAGATTCTAATGAAATGTTTATTGTTTAAACCGCCCAACCTACGGTGTTTTGTTATAGCTGCCTGAACTAAGATAGAAATCTTACTAGTCTTTCTATTTACTATGCATTTTGTTCCCCACCCCTCCTTTTCTGCTTTCCAGTGAATAGATCACATTTACGTATGTTAACTTGAAGACTCTTATTTTTTTAAAAGACATTTTTTGGTGGTCTCCCTTAACTTATTAAGACGGGTATATTTGCTTTTCTCTACAATATTTAAGACAGATCAATTGTTATAATCAAGCACACTCTCATTTCACTTCTGTTACCATCATCACTCACTTGCTTTCCGACGTTATCCAAAATTTGAATTATTATCTATTCCTTTTGGGTACCTTCATTATTTAAATAATAAACTATAGAGCCAATTTCTCTTCTTACGTCCTATATGTTTTCAAATGCATAGCGGTCTCTTGAGTTTATTACTTTTCTTACCAGAATATTTCCTCCAAGAGTATTAGCAAAGATGGTCATTGAATAGTAAGCCTGTTATGCTCTCATATACCTACATCTTTCTTTTACGCTCATTTAAACAACAGTTGAGCTGAGCATACAATATAGGCTCAAGGTGATTTCTTTCAACAACACATAAATCTTAACCCCTTATCATTTTGTATCCAGGATTCTTACTGACATGTCTAATGTCAATCTGATTCTCTTTATTAGCTGATCCTTTTTTTCCCTGGAAACTTTAAAGGTAGTCTGCCCTTATGATCTTAAATTTCACAGTAATGTGTCTGAATATAATATAAGTTTTTCCTTTCCTGTTTGAAAGTCCATATGCCATTTTATTCTCAAGGCTTTTTAAAAAATGTTTTGTTTTATTTTTGAGAGGGAGAGAGAGAGCGAGCAGGCAGGGAAGGGGCAGAGAGGGGGAGACACAGAATCCAAAGCAGGCTCCAGGCTCTGCGCTGTCAGCACAGAGCCCAATGCAAGACTCGAACTCACAAACCTCAAGATCATGACCTGGATCGAAGCCGGATGCCTCCCCGACAAGCCACACAGTTGCCCACTTAACTTTTCTATACTTTTGGAAACTGTTCTTTTCCCAAAGATAACCTTCCCTTCATCTTCTCTCCTACTGGAATTCTTGTTAAGAAGTGTCCTCTATTTTTTCCCTACATACTATTTGTTGATCTTAGGAAATGACCTGAGAAACATGACAAGCCTCTCTAAAACGGATATTGTGCTTTTCTCATAGTTATCAGTACCAGGAAAAGTCACCTTTTGCAAATTTGTTACCAGAAGCTGCAATGCCTAAAGTCAGCCACAAGAGAGCAGACAATCACCAAGAAAACAACTACTGGTTTTTGGGGTGGGGGGTGTTTTTTTAAAAAAAAGCACCGCGAGGAACCATCATAGCTATAATGAAACATTCCTTGGGATAATACTCCCTTCTTCTTTGGATGTTTCATCTCCAGTGTCGATAAGAGGATTAGTGTGTGAGCCAGGCTTCCCCACGGGCAATTGGAAATTTAATAGAAATACAGTTGTCACTCCTGCCTGGGGCTGAACTTCTTACAAATCATAGAGCAGGTTCCTACCCAAACCCTTGTGAATGGGTGTTCTCAAGAGGCAGTGTGGTCAGCTCTGTCACTCACTGGCACAGTGACTCTGGGCAGGTGGCTGAAACTCCCTTAGCCTCTGGTCAGCCTCGCCTAGGAAACGGGGTGATCATTCTCCCCGCGTAGGGTCTTGTGGGGGAATCAGAGACCACGCCAGCATCGGCGAACTTTGAAAAAGTACAGTCTTTGTTCTTTCCTCTTCCATAAAATGA